TGGGCGCTCTACGCGCTCTCCACACATCCCTCCATCCAAAACACTCTCCGTACAGAATTTGAATCACAAACCGGTACGGACCTTCCGACAGCGCTCAATGCCCTGCCATACCTCGACAAGGTCGTGCGCGAGGTCCTGCGGCTCTATGCCTCGTCTGCATTTACCAGCCGCGTGGCGATGAAGGACGATGTGATTCCGCTCGAGACTGCGTATACAGATGGCAAAGGGAGCGTTGTTGTCAGAGCGTCATGTGCGTCTATTGTCCTTCTCGCCAATGCTCAGTGCTCACAAACCTCGGGCTATACATACATGCAGGGTCCGAGAAGGCCAGATGATATTCATACCTATCGCTGCCGTCAACCGCGATGTGGATATCTGGGGTCCCGATGCGGACGAATTCAAGTAAGTTCGATCATACGTTTCCTTATTTCTTTCTTTCTGTATACCCGTCGCTCATATATACACACAAAGACCCGAACGGTGGGACGCTCTCCCCGACACAGCCAAATCAGTCCCGGGAATATACTCCAACCTGCTTACTTTCTTGGGCGGCCCGCACAACTGCATCGGATGGCGGTTCTCTCTCGCAGAGTACGTCCACCACGCCTTCCTCCATATCTGCCCACTCAATAATGTGAACCCGATATTCTTTCAGGATGAAATCCCTGCTCTTCGTACTCATCCGAGCGTTCGAGTTTGCGCTCGACGTAGACGCGGACGCGGAGGACATCGTGTCCCCCACCGACACGCCGCTCCAATCGCCGATGAGAAAGGGGCAGGATGGGAACCGGTTGCCACCGAGAATACGCAGGATTTAGGCTACTGTACACGCTCTGACAGATCGCGAATGCATTCCGGAAAGTCTGGATCACCCGGGCCCGACATCCTCCATTTGGAACGTGACACGGTGACTGACTTCCTTTGCCACCACGCCCACAAGCTGCCCACAAGCAATGTGGAGGCGGGAAGAGAGACGCGGCGTGCTCGAGCGCCTGCCTGAAGAGGCTCTGAAAGTCTTGAACGGTGTGTTTGCCCTGTCCCTTGTCCCCGGCCAACTGACTGAAGCGAGACAGCTCTCGCCAACCCACAGGATCCGTTCCAGTCGTGGACACCTCTTCGAGAAGAATGGATGTCTCAGCTAGGCACGACAAATTGTGTGTCGGCTGGCACCGTGGTCCTGGGTGAGACCAGCTTTGTACTTGGCGCAAACGCACAAATCCTAGATAGCGGCGCCCACGTTGTCATCCGCTACAGACGCAATCTCTTGCCCGGATGCGCGGAATGCGACGAGAATGTCGCTCTGGACGACCCCTACTCCGCTCCACTCCCCTTACCTACGATTGAGCATGTAAGCGCACACCGAGCCGGCTTCCAAGCTTACTGGCTGACCGCCATTTTCATCAGATCATCGGCCTCGTGAAATCGGTGGACGGAGTACGGACGATCATCGAGTTCAAGACCCTGTCCGACGGCTCCTTCGATGTGACGAAGGTCAGCGAGGAGCCGCTTCGTCGCGGAGCTGCTGTCCTCACCAGTTCTGTCCCTTTCCCATCCGTGCTCATCTCATCCCTCCGCGCCACGCATCGCTTCCCGCACACCTCCCACGTCGTCCTCCTAGTCAAGATCAGCCCAGAATCGGATGTCATGGTCCTGAAGCTCTGTGATGACTCCCGCCCGGCTAACGATGTCGAATTCATGAGCCTCCTCCCTGAGGTCGATGTCTTACTGCGCCCAACACACGTAGTCCTCGACGACGCTGGGTTCTGTCGCGGATTTCTATCCCCCTTCCATCCAGCTTCGTCTCTCAAAATGACCATGAACCTGCTCCACCGGAGTGGCGGAGCCTCGATTCCCTGGTCGGTGAAGCTGGTCTGGGCGAGCGACATCGCTGCAGCCGTGGAATGGCTACATGCACGAGATACTGCTGGGCTGGATATCAAGATGGAGAATGTTGTTCTCTGCACGGACGGACACTGTCGACTTATCGGCTACTGTCCCGACGGAGGATTGACAACACAATGGTGCCCACCGGAAGCTCTGGCGCCGAGCTGGCGCGGCAGCGCCGCCGGCGACGTTTTTTTCTCTCGGCCTGGTACTCTGGTGCGTAGCGGCGGAAGTTGGGTGTGCTGAACGGCAGCATCAGTACGGGACTCCGCACTTGTCATGGCCCAGTGGGGTTCCACTCTGGTTCCAGAGCCTGGTGTCCTCCTGTCTCGAGCACGACGCAGCTCGTCGCTCATCGGCACAACAAGTTCACAGCCGAATTTTGCTGGGGGAAACCTCATGATCTATGTAGAGAACCTTGTGGATGATACACGGAACGATAATGAATTAGGCCATGTTCATCGCAGAACAGAAGAGTGATTCTACGGCCGCGTTGCAGGCGGTCCAGCTAAACCCTGCAAAAACTCCGAGGGCCTCTCATTGATCGGTCCTTCCAGTGAATTCCTGTCGCGAAATCAGTCGGCGCGGTATGGAAGCCCGCGTTCTAGATCGGCTTCAAACTGTCCACAAACATAGCCGCCGCGTGTCGATCGGCGCCTCTCACGCACAGGAATGAGAATCAATACCTCGAGGCTGCCCAGAACAACGGAACCACAACCCACATTGGACAAGATGCGACAGGCAGAGAAAGCTTCCATTTCATCATCTCGTCTTCCAAGTTGATCTCGGCCGTTTTACACTCAAGTACGCATGGCAGCGGAGACCTTCTGGTATCTGCGAGTTCAACCTTTGTCCCGCACAATTGTAGAAGGACTTGAAGGGCATTGAACTATCCAACTTGTGTTCAGACCGCCAGCCTGCCAGTGAGTGCAGCGCGTCAATGACTCGGTGTTGTCCTGCATGCGCGAGTCCACACAAGCCACGCTGCGCTCTTTCTATATGACTCTCTTGAGAAATGCGAGGATCATGGGTTGGGCTACAAGAGACATGAGCACCTATCAGGTAGGGCCCACGTCAAATCTTGCGCCAGAGTGGGGCTTATGCGGATTGATTCAGGCTAGAATTCCCCGCTGTAGCGCTATAGTGCCCGCCTCCTGCGTGGACTCGGTTGCGTGAAGTCAAGTCATCAGAACCGCATTTATCGGATGAGTCGTATGGGAGGGGGTATAAATTTAAACATTGAGCTGTGTATATAAAGGGCCCAGAAACTTATCGCATACCACCACCCAGCATGTGCACCATTAAGTGGACAGTCCATATATGTGGCAACATATCGAAATCTAGCCGCTGCGAAACCCAAGTCTACGACCGGCGCACTGGTCGTTTTTACTTGTGCGGAAGCGTTTATCGCGAGTACAGCTGCGACACCCAAGACCCTTGCCCCTGGAGCTGCACGAACGTCGCAGGGACTCCAGGAGCTCCCAGCCACCGCCCGGTCCGCCCCAGCTGACCTGGTAGGTCCTGCTCTCATCCCGGAGCTCTTGTATTCTCAAAGCCTTCAGCTAGTGCATTGGCGGCGCAGGAAGAGCAGTCGAATGCCCCCGGATCCATCCAGTTTGATATGTGCCAGTGTCGCGTTGTAACATCCTCGTTTGAGTGTGTTGTACGGACGGACCTGCAGTTACTAGTACCCGTCTTGTACAACATTTCGTCTTGATATTTGAAGTTTTATTGCGGAGCTCTGGCATAGTCCCTCGTCCCGGACGCCGAATTCCAAGTTGAGCACGGTTGAGCACGATGCATGATCAAATTTGGATTAAATCAGCACTGGCACGCGGGAGGATGACACATCATCTCTTGCTCTCGGCGCTTTCAGACTCGACCCGCAGTGGATACGAACCAAGCCCGCAATCCGTCCACCGAAAATCTAGGCGGCCTAAGTCTGCCGAGGGAGCGGGCATTAGCGACTGGAATACCAACGTGCGTTCACCTTCTCGGGGAAGGATTTCCGACCTTGCAGCATGTGAAGACTGTCTACAATGCCCTCCTCCTTGCTGACCTACAGGCACTTTTGCAATAGCATGCCCCTGCTGTTGAACTTGAAACACCCGCGACAAGCCTGGCAATTGTGGGTTATCCAGGCCTTGAGAAGATCTGCTCCACTATCGCCTATTCGCATGTGGCCCTACTGAGCGCCCTCAATGCATATCTAATGCCGCAGTCTCTCCAGCCGTGAAGAGTGCCGTTTCTAGAAACTCTTTCATCTACGCAAACACGATGTGTGTTGAGAAGCCTCGGGCGGCCCCGGGAAATGCCGGGATCCAGAGAATCGTGTACCCTATTGGAGATGATGAAATGGAGCCATGACTTCTTTCCTATCTCCGACGCCGATCATGACTCGTCTGGGGAACGAGCTAAAACCTTGAGGTCGCGCACGAGATAACGGACAGACATGCATGAACGACCGGTCCGGGATGTCTCTTTACCATTTTAAGCCTGAGCCCATGCAGCCGTCTCCCAACTCCCAACGCTCAAGTCTGTATTTCGCTCATCCGACCGTGACTGTGGGCGACAAAGCATGCCACCAACAAAGCACACCATCAGCGCGAAGATGCGAGATTTCGGGTCTCGCGCGCATCTCACCACTCAACGTTTCTGATTACAAGTCCGCATTCCTGGACCAGCTCTGCCTAGTTATCGGTATCCGGGCCGTGCCTTTGATAATACTGTGGTCTTGAAAGGTCTTCTCTTCCATTGCCATCAGCTTCTCTGTGATCACCGCTGTCGCTAAGCACGGCGTACCAAATGCCCGGTACACGCAAATCGGTCAAAATAACTGTATGATGTTGAGAGCTGTCCCGATTCGGTTCTGCTCATCGATAATTGTGTGGTAGGCCTTGAGAAGATCTGCTCCACTATCGCGCGCGCGCATCAGGAAAGACGTTTCAGCTGGTACGCGGGCAAGTGCTGAGATCTAGGATGTCAACCGAGGTACCCGCTGAAGCAGAGCTGGAAGGGGGGTGGGGGTCGAAGGGGGGAGCAAGGCGGATACGACGAACATATGGAAGAGAGAGTGTTTCTAGAACAACAGTTCAACGCATCCGACGAGAAAAATATGGACAACAGCGGAATTGAACCGCTCACCTCTCGCAACAGTTAAAGAGCTGATTTCACAAGCCTTTGCTTGCTAAGCGAGCGTGATAACCAACTACACCAGATGCCCAGTCGGAGCCAGTTCTTGTGGTGAAGCCTTCATGTGCGCAATATTTTGTGCGCAATATTTCCGCCAAATCCTGAACTTCCAGCAAATAAGAAATTTAAAGCAGACTGATTTGAGCCACACTCCTCTTCAATCTCCGAATTTCGTAGCTCAGCAGCGCGTCGACGAAGCCGCGCAGAGGCACTCACTTGCAACTCAAACGGACGAGAATTGACGGAGCGAGCTCCGTCAGTTACCAGTCACGGTAGGGAGTCCAGGGCCCGGGACTACCATTTTTTCTTTCTTGCGCGGTCAACATACTCCAACTTGAACAGTATACTGCAACATCTCCCCGAAAGTTGACACCCTTATCCCACAACCCGCGCCAAGAACGCTGACATTCGAGCCGAACACTGACAGGACGGTCGCCTCGCAATCGAATCCCCACATGCGCTGTACAAGATGATCACCAGCCTTTCAAGATCCAGCGACCGCTCAACGATCTCGGATTCACAGTCGAAGGACGATAGCGAAGATCCGCTTGGCCATTCAGCAAGTATGATGATATTGCTACAAAGGCGAACATAAGTCCGCGTCAGGATAGGTACGAGATACAAGTAGGTAGCGAGAGGGGAATACAAGAGCATGTCCAAAGACAGCGAGAGACAAGGTCGTATCGTAAGGAGGCGTACTAGATGAGGAAGACGCAGCATGGACATCAAGCCCGGCTCGAATCCTGATTCGTGAAATGCCTAGGTTTTGGCATTGAATCCGTCAAGCAACGATAGTGACGGGGCGACGCCAGCTTCCTGAGGCGCCAGTGGTGCCTCGATACGGCGACTGGGCCTGCTTGGAGTTGCGCCAGACCGTCTTGGTCGTGCCTGCCGAGGCCGGGTGGGGCTTGGGGGCACCGAGCGTCTGCTGAGATACAGCGACGACTGGCTGGGGTCGAGGCTTGCAGCTCCCAAGCATAACGCCCCCGCTGACGACGTTGGTCCTCCCGCCCTGGTAGAGGTACTGCGTCGGTGCCTTATTGGCGATGTGGGGTTGTGTGGGCGGGGCACGTGTGGGTGTGTGTTTCGCTGGAGCGGTGGGCTTTCGTGGATCGACGACGACGGTGGGGATAAAGGTAGGGCTGGAGCTGGAGCTGGAGCTGTAGACGGAGGTCGCGGAGGTCGATACGCTGACGGTACTGGAAACGTCCGAGCCCGTGTCAGAGGCGGAATCGTCTTGGTCTTGGTCTTGGTCGTCATCGGAGGCTGCCTCGCGGGGGACAAACAGGCTCAACTGCGTCCGCACAAACGTCGAGTTGCCAGCCGGACCAGGACCACGCATACGGGGACGAAAGGCAGGGCCGGTGGGGATGAGGAGCATCGAGCGCATACGCTGCTCGAGCTGCGGGCGCAATGTCGAGGAGCGCTTGTTGTATTTGAAAGAGCCGAACTGGCTGAAGTCGTTGGTAGCGGCCATGGGATGATAAAAACGGTCTTCGCAAGGGGGTCAAACAGAGATAGTGTGGGGTTCTAGATCTAGAGTGAGGATGAGCTGAATCCAGCTGCAAGAACCGTCAGGACGCACCAGAGGCTAATAAACGTTCGTGCTTGGGGCGTGAAGTGGATGGAAAAACAAAAAGGCAAGCTGAGGTCGTCGGCGGGAAGTGTGCCCAGGACGAAAGACCCACAGCCTTTATACATTCCGTCAACAATGGGCTAGGAACGCCCATTGTCGACGGCGACGGAGCCGGGAGGACAATTGGGGAGGACACGTTGCCATCAGATTGATGTCAAAGTCACATCACATAACGGTGATGCGATCAATTCGGACGGACAGGGTATGCCTGAAGAAATTCCCCTCTCCCATCCAGAGAGAGAGAGAGAGAGAGAGAAAAAAAAAAGGAAAACAGGTATGAAAAAATTGAACCCGCAAACACTGTGCACGAGATAAATCTCGTCGAGATTTAACCATCCTCTAGTACTACTACTAGTACTGTCGATGAGACATGGACATTACCCCAGAGTCAGTCCCGTTCCGCGAAGAAACACGATTCTAACAAAGCAATGAGCCATGGGAACGACGACGATACGCTGCCTGCCCATACCTTTTATCAGGCCTTGCCGTTTGCGTGCCGCGAAATCGCCTGCGACATCCCAATAGGTGTAACAGTCCAGCACACCTTCATCCCAATCCTTGTACCAGGTCACGACCACTCGCGCATCCGCAAGATGCTCAGGAACCCGATCCGCGAGCTCGTCAGCCTCATCCTCGTCTCCTGAGAGAAGCACGAGGAGCAATAACTGTTGGCAGCGCTGCAAAAGCCTCTCCGCCAACGGCCATCGAGGGTCCTCGTAATCTTCGTTGAGAGCCAGGTGCGTTAACGCAGGGAGAGCGACACAAAATGATTCCATATCATCGACAGAGTTGTCATTGCGGAGCAATTCGAGGTGGGTAAGTGAGGAAAAGACGGGAAGCGTAGCGGATTCCGCCGGCGCGAGCAGTACATCATTAGGGTGGAACGAGAGGCACCGAAGTTGCTGCAGCTCAAGAAACGCTGCAGGCAGCGCTTTGTCGTCGTTATCTGTGCCGACACTGCCAATGGCAAGGTGCGTCACGGCAGGACACAGTTTGAGAATCCCGACCGCATCTTCGGTGGCAGGGAATCCAATGGAAACATGCCGCGTAGTTTTGGCGAAGAACTCTGGGGGCTTTACTGCCAACAGTGTCGACAGACGATGATCTGGGAAAACGAGGGTTCTATACAGCGTGGGCTCGATCCTGTACATGGACGGTCGGTCAGACTTGCAGCTGCGCCAAAAGCTGTGTATACCAAATCAGGACCCGACGAGCTACGAAAAGAAGCGGGTAGCGCATGTCCGGATGCAAGCGCGCTGTAGTTTCGAATATTTCGCGCTCGAGCTCGAGCGGTAGCTGAGGGTCTTCGGCGACCATGGTGGGAGAAGGCAAGCCGCGTTCGACAGATGATGGCATGTGGAGCCAGGACGTTCCGGTCCGAAAGATCATTTTTGAGCTCCGTCCACAGGTAAATCTTATCATTGAATTCTGACTCTGAGATCAATGGCATTTCGCACGACCGATCTGCCATAGCATGGATTCACAAACAACGGTTCGTAGTACATGTACATATTTACTATCTGCCGTAGACTCAATCCCGTTCCGCTAAGAAACACGATTCTACAAAGGAATGAGCCGAGGACGATGCGCTGGCTGTCCGTACCTTTGATCAGACCCTGCCGTTTACGTACTGCAAAATCGCTCGCAGCATCCCAAAAGTTGTAACCTTCCAGTGCCCCTTCATCCCAAGTCGTGCACCAGGTGACGACCACTCGCGCATCCGCGAGATGCTCAGGAACCCGATCCGCGAGCCCGTCAGCCTCAGCCTCATCACCTGAGAGAAACACGAGGAGCAATAACTGTTTGCAGCGCAGCAAAAGCCTCTCCGCCATCGGCCATCGAGGGTCGTCGTAACCTTCATAGAGAGCCAGGTGCGTTAACGCTGGGAGAGCGACACAAAATGATTCCATATCATCGACAAAGTTGTCATTGCCGAGCAATTCGAGGTGGGTAAGTGAGGAAAAGACGGGAAGCGTGGCGGATTCCGCTGGCGCGAGCAGTACATGACCAGGAAAGAACGAGAGGCACCGAAGTTGCTGCAGCTCAAGAAACGCTGCAGGCAGCGCTTTGTCGTCGTTATCTGTGCTGACACTGATGGCAAGGTGCGTCACGGCAGGACACAGATTGAGAATCCCGACCGCCTCCGAGTCGTCGCTGGCAATGATTCTAAGGGAAACATGCCGCGTGGTTTTGGCGAAGAACTCTGGGGGCTTTACTGCCAACAGTGTCGACAGACGATGGTGATCGGGGAAGACAAGGGTTCTGTACAGGGTGGGCTCGATCCTGTACATCCAGTCAGTGAATCAGACTTGCACCAACTGCCGGCAAAGCTATATACCAAATTAGGACCCGGCGGGCTACGAACAGGAGCTTGTAGCGCATTTCAGGATGCAAGTACGCCGTAGTCTCGAGGATTTTGCGCTCCAGCTCGGGCGGAAGTCGAGGGTCCATGGTGGGAGAGCACAAGCCGCACTTGACATTTGATCGCCGGCGGACGTGGAGTGAGTCGGAACGCCGCCGGGGACTCCGGCCTGGAAGATCATGTTCAAGAAATGCACTTGAAATGCACCCTGAGGTACCCAGGGTACGCTCAAGGGACGCTTTTCGTGGGGATATGAGCTGGTGCAGTCACTCCGTCAACCAGAAGTCTCAGAAGATATTCCAACAACAAAAGTTCATGGTCAACACGTAGTTCAACGGCTTCCGAGTGGACCGGTGGCGGGACAGGGGCTACACCAGCCACCGTACTGTACTATTTCGACCATTAAGTTCGTTTTTTATTGATTTTTCTTCGTCCCCGAAAAGGCCGAAAACTTTTCTTTTCGGCTTTAGGCGAATAAAAATTGCCTCTTTTTCCATCGACCTTACACATGAAGCAAACTTAAGCTCGAAATAGTACTGTGTTGATAGTCAACTCGGTGGAATCTAGCTATGAGCCATCCGAGGCACCTCCAAAGGTAGTCTAGCCACTAGCCGCCGTACATAAATTCGGATCCGAGTACGAATGCTCCAGGCCGATTAGAATGCCAGTATAATGGCAGCAAACACCCGCAAGCACACAAACGTGGAATATTTGATGCGATGCAAAAAAGTAGTCGAACTTGCCCGGTGCAAAGCGCTCTGGAATCCGGTTCACGCTGTAATATAGTGAGTACGAGTGAGATACACCCATAGCATTTTCTGAGTGAGTTCATGAAAGACACACTAAAGCAATGCCCCGGCAAAATAGAGGACAATGCAGAGAAGGCTCCAGCGAACACCCTGTTCGACCAGGACCGTATGCAGGCCTTGACGAAGAATACAATGAACGGTGGGCATGGCTCCGGAGAGACCTAACCCTCCGAAGACACCAGTTCGGGTCCCGCGATGTGTTGATTTCGAGTATTTCGGATTTA